TATATATATATATATATATATATAAGGTATGATAATTCAAATGGACTGTATTTTATGAAACACAGCCAAGATGGGTCACTTTGTAAAGAATAAAGGTTAGTTTTGTATTATTGGGTACAGTAACATGAGGGCACGTGTGCTGCATCATTGTAACTTCTGTATTATCAGCCTGGCATGGTTGAAAGGTCAGTATAATAAAAATAATAAATATATAATGTTACGAGATTTAAGCTATTTAGTCTGAACATTTGTGTTTTCGTGTTATAATTTGTAGTCATTCTAGAACAAAAAAGGCATAGCTTATATTTATTTTCTAGTTGTTTTAACCTGGTTACGAGATCGGTCAAATCGACCAAACCCATACAGAGATTCGTTACTGAAAATAACAGATAAAATATAAAGTGTTTTTCTTAAGAAACATTTGATAACTATCTGGACATTATAAAGATTTTGCATGTGAAATTTGGAAATTTTCTGATGCACAAAAGTATTTTTAATCTTAAAATGAAAATTAATTTGCATGTTGGATAGGCAACATTCTAAAAGAAAAAAAGGCATGAGAAAAACATTGCTTTACAAACCTTAAGACTTAATAAAAAAATTGATATTTTGAGTATTATAGCATTATAATGTTTACTAATAATCTGCCAAATTTTGTTAACATTCGCTTACCAATTTAAAAGTTGTAGCACGAAAACTATAACAAGCACAGAATGGTTACAAGGTTTTTGATTTTGCAGAGCTTGATGCTTTGGGTGATGAAATAGCTCTAGACGAAGACACTTCATATCTGGATGAAGCATCTAAAGCACCAAATGCTCCTACTAGAGAACCTGGATCTGAAACCATAGCTACAAATCAGGTTAGTGGCTTTTTCCATAATATCTTTATTTGAAAGACGAAAGATTCATTATACAGCAGATTTGTGTAAGCAGTTTCAAATATTTGTAAAGATTTCAGTAGGTACTAGTAATTTATTGGTTGAAATTCTGGAAGTATCCAATATATTTTGTTAATAAATAAACTAAAGACGGGATGTGAAAGAATTACTTTAAATGTGTTAAAGTTTATTCGGCATTAACCTGGTTCCCACAGGATAATGGTTTCAGTACCAAGAGAATGTGTGAAAATGAATTTCTTGTTTTGAAAACTGTTACCTCAATACATATTTTAGCATTATTTTCTAATTTTGCAGGAAGGAGTTTTGGTGGATGAGTTTGGATTGCCCAAGATACCTGCTTCATAATTTCAGAAATATCCGCTTCGTTACGAGCTGATATCCTCGTGAACTGTACATAATTAATAGGATGCTTGATTTTTACAGCCAGAATATTTTTCCCATACTATTCACATTGAAAGTACGTTAATAATAATACCGATACAATGAATACTTTTTCTTCAATTACGATATTGTTAAAGTCAAAGAAAGATGTTAAAGAATGCATTTTGGGTACTTTAAAATTCCCGATCAGAACAATCAAGATTTTTTTTTAGTGATATCTGTACACTTGTATTTTCGGTTTATCTGTTCTCTATGTTAAAAAACAAACTTTTGTTTGGAAGGTTGAATGTAAGCATTGTTCTACAAAAGTGTTTTGTGATTTCTTGTTGGTTAATATATTGACATCGGATATTTAATAAAAAAGTCGATGTATTTTGTGACATCAACTATAAGTGAATCATATAAAAACCACGAACGTTGTTATTAATTTCTTCATTTTAAACTGGATACAGAGATTTGTGTTTCTGAGAACTGGTTTATTTTTGTGTTTGATATTTTTTAAAACAATTTTCTAATTAATTTTCAAACAAGATTGTTAAATTTCAAAATTTATTTTACCTTAATAAGTAGGAAAAGAAACTGATGGAATTCATTATATTACAAAAATTCAAGATAAACTATTGTAATATGAAACATAAGTTCACGTTATATAAGAAATTCAAGATGGCACTGTAGACAAAACAAAAGTGTACTTTTAAACTTAGTAAAATATTATTTGTATCAGTCATTTGATTATTTTATTAAATAAAGTAGCCGATGCTTAATATGTGCAAAAAGGCTTAACTTTTCTTTCGCGGGAACAATTATATCTTATACACACAAGTAATAGAAATTATTTGAAAATCTAATATTGTTTTTACTGAAGCAACTTGTAAGACATTTTTTTTTTATGAGTTTTACCATTGTGGTTTTAATTATATTTGTGTCTTCTAATTGTCAGAAATTCGTTTTTGTAACCAAGTTCTAAAATAATTTGTTTTAAAAACTATTATAGTGATATAGGAAATTTAATTTTAAGAATTTTTCATTTGATTAGGAACTGAAATTATCTCAATATATTTATTAAAGTCTTGTCAACAAAGGATTGTGATAAAACGTTTTTTTTAATGACTTTCACCAGTTTCTTTCAGAATTGACAAATTGTAGTTAATTTTTAATTGCACATTACAACATGTAATCTAAGTTAACTTAGGTGAGTTGAAAAGGACTTAGGAACTCCATAAACATCACCATTATAAGTGGCCTATAATAGGTGAAACCGTGGTTCACAGCACCCTCTGCTGTGAATGAAATAATGCATTAGGCCTCTAGTCATACATTATATGTTTTCAATTTTACCTTTGGTGAAAATAACTCTGTAATATCAGAAAGTATAATGTTTTGTACTTTTCACAATAATCATAAAATATAATTCAGCAAACCATCATAAAAACATTAAAAATTTGTGTAGGAATTTTTAAGACACATTTTTGAAAACTTCAGACGGTTTGTTTTGGGGTGGGTGGGGGTGCATGTACATTCTTGTGATGTATATGTGAATTTATGGTAACTATAGAAACAGTAATAAATACAACTTCTAACAAAATTCTTGCAATTTTTAAAAGGAATTTTTAATTCATAGAAAAGTAAAAAAAAAGTACTCAAGAATTGGTAAGGAGGGAATGTATACAAGTCAACCCCCCCCCCCTACTCTACAGAAGTTAAAATTTTGTGAGGAGAAATATCTTTACTGTAGAATGATTATTTCAAGATGCTGTTACATGGTATCAAGACATATGATGTGTGTCGTGCGGCTAAAACAATCTGCGTGTTATTAAGAGGAGTGATAGTTTAACAATTTTTCAATTTCTGTAGCTCGGACTGTGGTAATCCAAACTATCAAATATTTTCAATGGATGTGCTCTACTGAACTCCAACTTCACATACCAAATTAAGGCAATCCATTAAAAAATACACGAGATATAAAATCTCCAATTTTGATTGATTTTTTCCTATTTCTCTTCCTTCGAACCGAAGATAGAAAAACACAGTGAACATTCATGGATTTCTTTCAAATTTGGTACACTGATAGATCTTTAAAACCTGCAATTAGGTATAAAATTTGGTCTAAATATAAGCCACATGTGCAAAGTTATTCAACAAAAAACGCTCCATTTTGACCAAAATATTTGCGCTCGACTACGTAAACGTCACGTGAGCTATTGGCCTGAAATGTTTATTACAGCTTTACCTAAGAGTAAAAGTGAAACGTTTTTAGTTTTATTATCGTTAGGTTTGTTATGAATTTCGCGCAAAGCTACACGAGGGTTATCTGTGCTAGCAGTCCCTAATTTAGCAGTGAAAGACTAGAGGTCATTCCAACAGAAGCGGTGATATTTTCACTTTAGAAAGTGCCATTATATGCTCTTTATGGTTAAATTCACAAGGACGCAGTCTAACTTCACTTTTATTTTCACTAACTTACTTCCCTGCACTATATATATTGCTCGACTGAGGCCTAGTACTTTCTACAATCTTAAGAGACTTTACGATGTAATATTACTCACTTAAAGCAATGAGAAAAATTCAGAAGGTTCGAGTAACATGACATCAATTCACAACAATTGAACTATACAATAAATGATTTGTAAACAGTTATATGAGCAAACTTATCATAACTATCACTTATAAAATAACTTGCTTTTAACACTTGCACAATAAAAACTAAATGCTGCACTCGTATTAAACTTAAAATGAACTGTCGTGTATATCTAACAGGGCAATATTAGATAATGTTCCCCTTCCTTATTTCTTTTGTTATAAAATTCACAGTGACATCATTAGATGCTAATTGCATTCCCTGCTTTTTGAAAAGTAATAATTTACTCATTCAACTGGTTAATTAATTGTGACTTTAATTTCAAAATCTATGAAAAAGTAAAAATGTGTCCGTATTTCAGGGTGTCTTTATTCCTTTTTTTCGGGCAAAAATCCTAAAACAAAATAGCCCATATACACCGTCGGACAGTTTCCGGTTACCAAACATTACAGTAATCGAGCCAGGAAACTCTTGGTTATGGATACTAACACACATACAAACACATAATGGATCATCTTACTTAGCAATAATATTGAGATTTTGGATATTACGTACTTGTTCAGATATTCTCTTAGGCATAGACTAGCATTTTTCTCTTATATACGTACAAGAGCATCAGCCACACGTTATATCATAAACAACTTTCATACAATGACACCAACCATGTAGTCCACATTTAGTGGCTATCCACTAATTGCTTTACACGTTATCTTTCTTTTTATATGTTGAACTTGTTATTGATTATGTAGATGTGCAGTTTTTGTACTGTTATAAGTTATATGTGCTAATTATTGTATTCAGTTTTGTGATGATATTGTTACGTCTCCGTTTGTTAATTGATTTCCCGTAAATTCGTTCCGACAAAACTTTAGCGACACAAGTCCTTACTTAATAAAACTGGTTTATTCTTTCCAAATATAACTT